CTTCCCCGAGCCCCCCCTCACCTGAAACCTCCAGTGTGATATTTCTGTTATTTCTCTGGCGTCCCCTGAGGTGCCACATGTACAGCCCAGCGTGGGAGTCCCGGACACCTTTGATGAGCAGCTGGGCCATGCCTCCCTGAACCCAGAGCTGCCAGTCGTCCCGGGAGAAGTGGCCTTGGGACACGTTGTGGAAGATGGCCTTGTTCTCCCTGAGGTGGCGCAGCGTGACGGTGACGAGGGAGAAGGTGTTGGAGATGTTGCAGGACATCGCTACGTTTTTGCCCTGAGACACGGAGACCACGCCCTCCGTGCAGGTGGGAAGGTCCCAGCCTGTGGGGCCAGAACAGGGGCACACACGGGTCAGGGCTGGACCTCAGGGCACTGGCTGGCTGCTGTGCCCAGGGCCAGGGCCAGGGCAGGAGACAGGGCCTCTGAGGGACACGATGAACTGTGTCTACATCCATCCCATTCACTCAGCACGTGTTCTTGTGCGAAGAATAAGACACCCACAGAAAAGGTGGGCGGCCGTGTTTGTGTGTGTGTGTGTGTGTGTGTGTGTGTCTGTGTGTGTGTGTCTGTGTGTGTCTGTGGCTTGTGTGAGTCTGTGTGTGTGTCTGTGTGTCTGTGTGTGTGTGGTTTGTGTGTGTGCGTGTGTCTGTGTGTGTGGTTTGTGTGTGTGTGTGGTTTGTGTGTGTGTGTATCTGTGTGTGTGTGTGTGTGTCTGTGGTTTGTGTGCGTCTGTGTGTCTGTGTGTCTGTGTGTGTGTGGTTTGTGTGCATGTGTCTGTGTGTGTGTGCGCGCGTCTGTGTGTGCATCTGTGTGCGTTTGTGTGTGTCTGTGTGTGTGTGTGTCTGTGTGTGTGTGGCTTGTGTGTGTGTGTCTGTGGCTTGTGTGTGCGTCTGTGTGTGTGTGTGTGTGTGGTTTGTGTCTGTGTGTGTCTGTGTGTGTGTGGTTTGTGTGCGTGTGTCTGTGTGTGCACACACGTCTGTGTGTGCATCTGTGTGCGTGTGTGTCTGTGTGTCTGTGTGTGTGTCTGTGTGTGTCTGTGTGTGTGTGATTTGTGTGCGTGTGTCTTGTGCACGTGTCTGTGTGTGCATCTGTGTGCGTCTGTATGTGTGTGGTTTGTGTGTGTGTGTCTGTGGCTTGTGTGTGTGTGTCTGTGGCTTGTGTGTGTGGTTTGTGCGTGTGTCTGTGTGTGTGGTTTGTGTCTATGTGTGTGTGTCTGTGTGTGTGTGGTTTGTGTGTGTGTCTGTGTGTGGTTTGTGTGCTTGTGTCTGTTTGTGTGTGCGCGCACATCTGTGTGTGCATCTGGGTGCGTCTGTGTGTATGTCTGTGTGTGTGTCTGTGTGTCTGTGTGTGTGTGTCTGTGTGTGTGTGTGTCTGTGTGTGTGTCTCTGTGTGTGGTTTGTGTGTGTGTGTCTGTGTGTGTGCGCGCGCGCGTCTGTGTGTGCGTCTGTGTACGTCTGTGTGTGGTTTGTGTGTGTGTGTGTGTGTGTGCGCTTGCACTCACACCGTGTCTGTTCCTTAGAGTGTGTCCACTTGAATGAAGACAGTGCCTCTCAACTCCCTCCTCGTACATTCCCACTGCGGTGCTCGAAGCCAGACCCTGGGGGCTGCGTGGGCGTCTGCTGCGCGGCGCGCTGCTGCTGACCTGCTGCGTCGCCCCGTGGCTGGGAAGCAGCGGCCAGGCCCCAGCTCCTCCCCCAGCTCCTCCAAGGCCTAGGCCAGGTGCCCGTGCTTGGCCAGGTGAGGAAGGGGCGCAGGCTTCTGTGGACACCCATGGGCCAGCATCAGGGGTGAGCAGAGCAGGCACGGGCTCCAGAGCCTGCTTGTGCCACCCCCAAGGGGACCTGAACCCTGTGCCCTTTGCACTCTCGACCACCCACTCAGCTCCAGGCTGCTGGGCCAGCTCCACACACAACTCCACAGTCCTGGGAGGTCAAGTCCTTGCAACAGGTCAGTGTGTCAGTCTGCCTGTCTCTCTCCCCTCCTGGGTGAACCCTGCCCAATAGTGACACCTGCAGCTGCCCCCTCGGAGGTCCAGGGCCTTTGCCCCAGCAGCCAGCTCAAGGATGCCTGAGATTCAGGTTGTGGGGCCCCAAGTATGGTACCAGGCTGAAGTCTTGGTGCCGCTATTGTCCCTGCTGTGTCAGCGTCCACCCGTGACTGGAGACACATGGATGGACGGACGGCAGGGTGAGCTCTTGGGGAGCACATAGCATGCTGGGTGGAGCCACCATTTGGCCACATTTCACCAAATACAAAACCACACAGCGGGTGCCACGTGCCGGCAAGGGCACCAGGAGGGGGTGGGATTCAGGGACACCTGGTCTTTGGGCCGGACCGAGTTTCCTCTGGCGAACAGGCTGGCCGCCTGCCTGGGGTGCACTGAGTGGTCAGGGACTGCAGGGCCTCTACAGGCCACTGCACAAATTCACCCTGTGCCCTGAGACCTGCGGGCAGCCGTCCAGGGGGTGCCCCAGCCCAGGAGCACTTTGGAACCACTGTTGGGGGTGGGGGCAGAAACTCCCCAAAAATGAGCCCCTCCACCTGTGATTCTTCTGTTTTGTTTTTTGTTTGTTCTTAGGATTCTGACTGAACTGCTTTGGGATGTGGCTGAGCTCTGATATCTGTTAAAAGCCCCTAGGGTGGCTCAGTGGCTCACACCTGTAATCCCAGCACTTTGGGAGGCTGAGGTGGGAGGATCACTTGAGCCCAGGAGTTTGAGACCAGCCTCAGCAACATGGCAAAACCCCATCTTTACAAAAAATACACAACTTAGCCAGGTATGGTGTGTGCACCTGTGGTCCCGGCTACTCTGGAGGCTGAGGTGGGAGGAACACCTGAGCCCAGGAGGTCGAGGCTGCAGTGAGCTGTGACTGCACCACTACACTCCAGCCTGGGTGATACAGCCAGACCTTGTCTCAAAAACAAAAGCCCCTCAGGTGACTCTGCTGCACAGGTTGGGGTCTAGAGAGCGGGGGAGGATCACTGGGGGACCCTGTTCAAATGCAGACCCCATCCTGGCAGATCTGAGGCACACCTGACTAAGGAACCCTGGCCACGGGACAGGTCATAACTGACCCGGACCCTCTCCCTTGGAAACTGGTCATCATCTTGGTCCTTCCCACAATTGCTCTGCCCACCAGACACCACAACAGGCACCACCACCCACCATCCACAGAGGGGCCCAGCCTGCCCATCACAGCTCACCATCCACAGAGGGGCCCAGCCTGCCCATCACAGCTCACCATCCACAAAGGGACCCAACCTGCCCATCACAGCTCACCATCCACAGAGGGGCCCAGCCTGCCCATCACAGCTCACCATCCACAGAGGGACATGGCCCACTCACCACCACCCTCCAACCATGGATGGCCACGGCCCCACACACTACCATCCTCCATCCACGGTGGGACACGGCCCACTCACCACCACCCCCCAACCATGGCGGGCCACAGCCCACTCACCCCCACCCTCCAACCACGCTGGGACACGGCCCACTCACCCCCACCCTCCAACCACGCTGGGACACGGCCCACTCATCACCACCTGGGACAGCCCAGCTCCACACGGCCAGGCCCTGGGTCTGCACAGTCAGTCATTATTAGGGCCCTGGTGGTGTCTGGGTCCAACCTCAGTCCACCCCTCCTACCCCGGCCATGATCTCGCTGGGCCCCTCTTTCACCAGCAGAGAGGCAGGACCCCGAGACCTACCTTCATTCTGAGCACTCAAGGAGGCAGCCAGGAGTAGGAGGGCCCCGAGGGCCTGGGAAATGGGGCCGGGGAACTCCAGGGGGCAGGTCTGCATGGCTGGCGGGACTTGAGCAGCCTCAGGGTCCCCTGGTCCTTGTCAGTGGCTCTTGGGACACTCCCTGGAGGAAAGAAAGCCCCTGGGTCAGAGACCCCCACGGCCACCGGAGGGAACAGTGGGAGTGGCTGTTGCCTGGCAGGGCCTGGGAGGTTGGGGGTCCCCACGCTCTTCCGTGACTGGCTGGGCCTGGGATGCCAGAGCCCCCCACCTTCCATGTGCCTGCAGAGGGTATGAGATGCTGGCCATGAAGAAGACACAGAGGTGGGGCAGGAGACAGAGTCACCCACAGCATGGAGGGGACCCCATTTGCCTTGTGGGTCAGCGCTTTTGTTTTATAATAAATTGCTCATAACTGTACCTGAGTATGTCTCCCACAGAAATGGGTCATGACAGGTGGGATCTTTGGCAGCCATGTCTGACCTGACGCTGTACTGAGACAGGCTTCCAGCCCCAGCCCCTCAGCAATGCCACGCACGAAATCAGTTTCTGTCTACTTAGGAGCATGCGTTTGATGCCACTGCAGGCCCAGGGCACAGAGCTTCGTCACTGCAATTCCGGAGCATGTCCGTCTCCTCGTTGGTCCTCTCCAGCCCTCCTGTCACTCACAAGGACCCTCACCTGACCAGCACCCATGGTCCGCCTCCCCCAGCCAAGCCCGGCGCTGACCGCAACCTGCCGGCAGCGGGCGGACTCCTGCCGACCCACCGACCCCGCGCCCAGAGCAGCACTCAGCTCCGTCCTTTGTGCGTTCCTGACACCCAGGTCGGCTTCACCCCGCTGCTGTCCACGGCAAGGCAGGCTGCTGGGCTGCTTCCAGCCGCGGAGCCTTCTTTTGCCGTCTTGCCTTGAGCCTGCAAACGCGAGGGGTCCCCTGGCTGTGTGGTTCCTCTCCTGACAGGCAGAGGCAGCTCCAGGCCCGGACACTGAGGGGGTGCTGGACCCCGGGACCCCTCGCTCTCGGCCACGCTTGGGGCAGGGCCCTTCCCTGTGGCACTCGCCAGCTTGTTCTCCTTCCATGCTGACAACAGGCCGAGGGTGGAACTCGGGCTCCCTGAGGTGTCCGTCTGTGGGGATGGGTCTTCCAGAGGTCCCAGGCAAGCGGGGTGTCTTTGAGCTTAGTGTGGCTGGTGCTGCTTGTCTCTGGGCTTTCTTAGTTTTATTGTTTTTTCTATTTCTTTATTTCCTTTTTTTTTTTTTGAGACGGCGTCTCACTCTGTTGCCCAGGCTGGAGTGTGGGGGCGCGATCTCAGCTCACTGCCACCTCCGCCTCCTGAGTTCAAGCGATTCTCCTGCCTCAGCTCCCGAGAAGCTGGGACAACAGGTGCCCACCACCATCCTCAGCTAATTTTTGTATTTTAGTAGAGACGGGTTTTGCCACGTTGGCCAGGCTGGTCTCCAACTCCTGACCTCAGGTGATCTGCCCACCTTGGCCGATTTCAGCTGGTTTTGTGCCAGAACCTGGAATCTACATGGAAGTCGTTTTGCAAAGGGCGCATGCCTGGGTCCACTTTTGCTTCTTCGGGGATTGCAGGCTGAGCCCGGGACACTCAGGTGAACCGAGGTCCCTAAGTCTGTCCCCTCTCCACTGCTGCCCGGACTCGCCCCAGGCCCAGGCTGAAGGACGCTGCTTGGCGGCTGCCCAGCCCCTGGGGGACAGGCTCCTCACTGCTCCCTTCGTCCTTCCCTAGACACCTGCTTTCCAGTGGGACATGGGCAGAATCCTGATCTAGGTTCTAGTTGGAACCAGGAGCTTGCCCCTACCGGGTCCTGCCAGAGCCAGTCCTGAATCTCTACAGAGGGCACGTGGCAGCCGGCCGTGGTGTCCTGAGTCTCCACAGGGGCCGTGTGGCAGCCGGCCATGGTGTCCTGAGTCTCCACGGGGGCCGCGTGGCAGCCGGCCGTGGTGTCCTGAGTCTCCACGGGGGCTGCGTGGCAGCCGGCCGTGGTGTCCTGAGTCTCCACAGGGGCCGTGTGGCAGCTGGCCGTGGCGTCCTGAGTCTCCACAGGGGCCGTGTGGCAGCTGGCCGTGGCGTCCTGAGTCTCCACAGGGGCCGTGTGGCAGCTGGCCGTGACGCTGTGCTATGAACCCGGCTGCTTTCGGTTTTGCTGCCTTCCTGCCCCTGCCTGTCGGTTCCAGGCAGTCCCCAGATGGGTGCCAGCAGCTCACCACCCTGATGCTGCTGGGAGCCGCTGTGGGTGGAAGGTTCTAGAAAGAGGTGTGGCAGCTCCGGGTACAGGGGTGTTCCTGGTAGCTTAGATAAGATCCACTCAATCCTTTCCTGAGATATTTTTACAAAATAACTTTCCCTAACTTGGAAGGTCAGGCAGAGCACACAAGTATCCCCAGCAGCCCGAATGTGGTCCCCCCAAGCGTGGCCAGCAGTCACCTCCCAGCCCCGTGCCTCCCGCTGCTGCCCGTGGCCCTGCTTGGCACTGTGGCACCCCGAGACGGGGCTGGGTGTCCAGCTGCATTTCACAGGGTGGAGGCAGGAGCCTGCCCTTTTCTGTCACCTCTGCCCTCCCCTGCCAGGCCCTGGGATTCTCCGTCCCAGCCCCAAGGAGCCTCGGGCAGTGGCCCCAAGCGTTTCCAGGGTGGGCCTGCTCAGGACGGCCTTTTTTGGGCTTTCCAGCCCAGGCGCGGGCTAAGAACTTGGTGCCCAACTCCCGTTTCACACCTTTCCCTCCGTGTAGTCCATGCCTCTGGCCTGGATGCTGGTGGGAGGGCCAGGACCCACTGGGCCCTTGCAGGCCCCGCAAGGCTGTGATGTGGATGCCGTGTAAGTGCTGAAGGCCTAGGCTCAGCCTCGTGGGCTCCTTGGGTCTTACGGGCCCTCCAAGGCCACTCAGGCCTGCCAGGCCATCCCCTCACCACAGGGGCCTGTCCTCAGGCGGTCTGGGCTGCTGGTCTCTGGAGGAGGCCCGTCCCTCGGGGATGCCACCTTGCCCCTAGCCATCAGTGGGCACGCAGCTCCAGCCCCAGACCGACACAGACTCTTTCCTCTGCCACCTCTGCTGATCCTGGCACAGCCTTGGTCCCCAGATGGCCCCGGCCCAGCCAGAAGAGGTCCTGGAGCCCCCTGTCTCTCAGGGATGATGGCAGAGGGCAGGCCAAGGTCTCTCCTGGCTGGAGGCGTGGGAGGGCACTGCACGGTGGCCCTCTGCAGCCGGCCCGGCCACCCCCAGTGAAGGCCCAGGGAGCAGGCGGGCAGGCATTCTACCCCAGGGAGCCAAGGCCGGGAGACTCCTGGCATCTTCCCTCCTGCAGGTCCAGCCCCAGGCCCTGGGCACAGTGCGGGCCCTCGGGTCAGTGGCTCCCTGCAGCCTCCTGTTGGTGGCCTGGTGGTGTGTGTTAGCGTGAAGCCCGAGCCCCATGGACTCCGCGCCCTGAGGCTTTGTGCAGACCGGCACTTACGTCCACCGGGACTGGGCCATCAAGGGCTGCTACCCAGGAAACCTCTCACGCGTGTGGGAGCAGGGTCCCTGGCCTTCCAAACACCACAGCAGGCCTGGAAAGTGTGGGACACTCTCCTGGGGGAAGTGCAGTGGGGCGGCCTGGCGGGGGGTGCGCCCTGGAACCAGAGCCCTCTGCTCCAGCCTTCCCCACCACACGTTCAGTCACCTTGCAAGTTCCCACGGTGTCTCTGGGACGTGAACTGGGAAGAAGGAAGGGTCGCCATGGAAGGCCCACGCTGAGGGAGGCTTGCCCTGCCCTCCTGTGCCCAGGAGCCCCTGCACCTCTGGGGGCCTCACTCTGTGCAGAGACAGGCTGACTAGCTCAGCAAAACCTCAGCCTCCACTTCCTCTGTGGAACCAACTATGTTCGCCCCACCGCGTACGCACACACGCTTGCACACGTGTGCACAGTGCGGGGGGCCGGCCAGGCAGGATGAGCCTCTCACAGGCCCCAGCGAGGTCCCCGCCTGTGTGCTCCCTCAGGGGCCCTGCTCATGCCCTGCATACAGAAGGTGCTTGGTCCGTGTGGATCTGGACCCTGAGAGCCACTCGGGGACGAGGGTCCCTGTGTGGATGCTACAAAGCCCCACCTGCCCCCAACGCAGGAACTCAGCTTTGCACAAGGGAGGTGCCTGCATTCCCCAGGAAGGGCTTGGGCCGGATGCCTGGGCTGGTCAGAGGTCAGGCCCTCACCTGGACCAGGTGACGTGTTTTTGTATGAGCCTGCTGACGTGCCTGCTGGACTTTGATAAGGGACCAGGGAAGAGAAAGTGAGAGGGGGCAGCCTGGGTCCATTCCAGGCAGGACGGTGTGTGAGACCCAGCCGGAGCCCTGGGAGGGCACGTCCTTCTGCCGAGAGCACTCGCTTCCGAGGGAGGCTGGGTGCGTGCTAGCGTTCCTGGCCGGCTGACCCTCCTCTTGGTGTTTGCACCCCTGCTGGGAAAAGTCCCTAGGCGGGGCAGCGACTCCAGCCCTGCTCCTCCCCGAGAGCGCTCCCCTTACAACCCACACACCCAGTGTCAAGGTGACGTCGGGGACTCCCAGGAGGGACCTCTGTACAGCGACCTTCAGACGTGCTATTTACAGATGCGTGTTTCTCCAAAACACAATAAACAACCTGAAAGTGTGACAGCAGGACACGCCACCAACCCCGGGGACACCATGTTCCCGGGGGTCCTCCAGAGGCTGGAGGCTGGGCCTGCTGAGGACGTGGCGTGCAGATGGGCTCCGGCCTTCTGTTCCCACTGCCCCAGGCTCCCTGTCCCTGCAGCCCCTGCAGCCCCCTCTGGCCCTGTCCCCAGGCGTCCCTGGCCCTGCACAGCCACCAGTCATTCCCACCCTCTCCCTGGGGTCCTGCCCCCACACGGAAGCCCCTGCCGGCCACAGAGACCAGGTGTGGGGACGCTGTCACTGCCGGGGCACGCTGCTGAGGCTCAGGGACCATCCCGGGCTTCAAGGCTGGTGCCGGGTGGGGGTGCCGTGTCCCGAGGTGTGGGTTCCCCACTCCAGGCAGCTTCGATGCTCGGTAGAGTCCCGTCCCTTCTGTGGGAAACCCCACACCCCCTGCCGCAGCCTGGGTGTGAGGGGAGGGAACCCACATCTGAGACCCTTTGTGGCCCCTCACTAACACCCCCGTTCCTGTGTGACCCCTCAGGGCTGCTCAGATGCGCTGGGAGACAGGCTGGGGCCCCAACCCCATCGTGCCTCAGCACCCTCCCCGGGCTCCGGCTGGGGCCCCACCCCCATCGTGCCTCAGCACCCTCCCCGGGCTCTCACCCGCTGTCCTGCTGGGAACAGACCCAGGCCGCCTCCTCTCACTTTCTCTTCCCTGGTTCCTTATCAAAGTCCGACAGGGTCTCCCTGTGCTAAACACAAGGGGTGGGCCGGGGTGGTCCCTTCTGGAGGCTCCAGGGGGAATCTGTCCCTCTCCCTCTCCAGCGTCCAGAGGCATCTGTGTCCCTTGGCTCAGGGCCCCTCTGCCACCATCCGCCTGCCCCTGCTGCTTCCCTCATCTCCCTGACTCCCCCTCCTCCTCCCTCCCTCTCCTGGAGACGCTGTGATGGCATCGAGGACCCCCCGGGTGATCCAGGATAGACTTCCCAGCTCAGCACCTGTGACCTCACCCCATCTGCACAGTCTGCATGTAAGGTTCTGGGATGAGGACGTGCCGTCTTTGGGGACTGGGTGCCGATCACAGAGCCCCTCCCCCAATGCAGTGGGAGACCCAGGCCACCTGGAGACCCCCGCATGGGGGTGAGATTCACACAAAGAGACCTGGCGGGGTCCTGGGTCTGGCTCCCCTCACCCCACGCTCTGCAATGCCAGCTCAGCCACCCACCTTGAAACGGTGCTGACCGACAGCAGGGAGGGTTGGGGCTGCTGGGGTCTCCCCCTGCTCTCTGCACCACTCCACCCACCTCATCCGGGAGGGGATGCCCTGCCGCTCTCCCCGGGCTGTTCTGGGGGTCTTGTCCTCACCTGGAGCCTGGAAGCATCTGAGTCTGTTTCATAAATGCCTCCAGGGACTGCCCCTGCCTCTGTGTTAGGGCTGGGGACTCTGGGCACACAGCCAGAGGTCACAGATCCCCAGGGCCCTGAGAATGCCGTGTCCACCCCACCTGCCCACCCGGGGGCTGGCTCTGCTGCCCATCTGTGTCCTGAGTCAGCCCTGACTCAGCAGAGTACTGCACCCAGAGCCGGACCTCAGCAGCTGGGTCCTGGAGGCCCCCAAGGGCCAGCTGCACACACCCGGCTTCATGCCAAGCTCCTCCTGCCTGACAGTGGCTGCGTCTGCTTCCCCTCACCCCTGAGTGTCCCAAGTCCACCCGCTCTGCATTCCATGGGGCCAGCAGTGCGGTGGATCCTCTGCTCTCAGAGGCTCCAGCTGCTGGCAGATGCGTCTGCTGACCCAGGTGGACCCTGCAGCCCTGGCTCCCAGCCACGCTTCCAGATTGCTTCCTGAAGGCCCTGGGCCCTGGGCTGCCCTGGTTAGGACGAGGGGGTGGGAGTGAGAAGCTGGCACTGTTTCTCTTTTTGGCCGAGTCTCCTCCATGGTCCCAGCCCCTGCAGCCTGGGATGCACCCTCCAGCAATGCTGCCTTCCCAAGTCCTCCAGCCCAGCTGTGGTGGCACACACGGGTCCTCTCACTGCCCCTCACTGGCCCATCCTCCCGGCACCTTCACCAGCTCCCCCACTGAGCGCCTTCCGACAATGGCAATCCTGACCCACGTCCAGCCAGGGATGAAGGGTGGTGAGCGCTGGGCCAGAGGGTACTAGGAGCAGGTGGCGTGCCCTCCCCATCAGCCCACCCCCTGCAGGAGATGGGAAAGGTGTGGAGTGAGTCAGCTGTGGTGGGGAGCCCCTGGCCTGGAAGACCCCTGACTTTGACTTGAGAATGAATGAAGGGCTCAGGAGGGGTGCCAGGGACGAGAGGGCAGGTCTGGCTCTGGGATGAGGCTTCAGGCTGCAGACGGTGCGTGGCCCCACCTCTGCCCGGGCAGCTGGTGTCAGTGACATTAGGTTAATGCGGAATTTGCTCCGTTTATTAGACAAAAACTCACCCTAGTGACACAGGCCCCTCAGGTCACCAGGCATCAGTGGGCCCTGCAGAAATGGTCACACTGGAGTCCCAGATAAACAGCCAATGATGTCATGGTAAAAGCTTGTCCCATGTGACACTTGGGACACACTTAGATTAAAACACGATTCACGGTCTCAAGCTCAGACGTTGCCGGCTCTGTTTTTGTCAGCAGGCCTGGCACTCTGCCCCGTCTGCCTGAGTCCTCTCCCGCCATCCTACTGACCAGAGGCAAGGGCTCCATTTGAATACTGTGCAGTTGGTAAAAACCAGAGAACAGGCAAGCGGCGGGGTGCAGCCACAGGGAAAGTGGCAGGTGGGGCAGTGACTCGCCAGGGGCTCCACATGTGGTACAGGAGACTGGGGGCACAGAGCCCCAAAACTTCTAGAGCAGGAAAAAATGGAGGCAGCAACCAGATTTGTCTCAACCCATGAAAACAGGGTTGGCATCTGAGGAGCTGGCACCAGGCACAGCGGGCTCCAGACGCTGAGTGCTCCCTGGCCAGCGATGACATATGCTTGGAGCTGTTCCCAGTGACAAGCCCAGGGAAGCCCATGCGCCGCCCGGCACGCCTGTGCACACCTATTCCCGCTCCTGTCCCGGGTGCCGCCTGTCCCAGCTCCCACGGGTGCAGGGTGTGTGGAAGCTCAGGCCCCTTGGGCCGGGTTCACTGGGGTCCTCCTGTGTGATCGGTGGTCATTCCGGTGACCTGAGGTGCCTGTGTCACCAGGGTGAGTTTTCTTCTAATAAATGGAGCAAATTCCCTGCAGCAACCCAATGTCACTGACACCGGCTGCTCGGACGGAGCTGGGGCCGCGCACTGTCTGCAGCCTGAAGCCTCGGAGTAGAACCAGACCTGCCCCTCTCGTCCCTGGCGCCCAACTCCCTACCTCCTGAGCCCTTCCGTCATTCTCAAGTCAAAGACACGGGTCTTCCAGGCCTGCCATGCGGGCCAGGGGCTCCCCACCACGGCTGACTCATTCCACACCTTTCCCGCTACCTGCCAGGGGTGGGCGGACGGGGAGGGCACGCCACACGGGAGGGCCGGCATGCTTTCCCACCTGCTGCAGGGGCTCAGGGAGCACAGGTGACACCATGTCTCCATGGGGAATGAGCGCACACAGCACATGCCACACTGGCTTTCACCAATACCTCTCAGAAGATGGCCAAGGCCCACAGAGGCCATGGAGCCCACCTAGGCCCACGTGGTACTAGGAGCAGGTGGCGTGCCCTCCCCATCAGTCCCCCCCTACCCGGCAGGTGGCGGGGGGGGGGCCCTTAGCCTGCACCGCGGTCCTGGAAGACCCCTGACTTTGACTTGAGAGTGACTTTGAAGGGATCAGGAGGTAGGGAGTTGACGGGTGTCAGGGAGGAGAGGGGAAGGGCTGGTTCTACCACCTGCCAGGGCCCACGGTGTGGACCTCCCTGCCCTGGTCTCTGCTGAGGCAGGCCCAGAGGGGACTCTAGGTGGGGTCTGGACCGGGCCAACCCTTCCTCTTCAACCCTCTGCTGGTGGCCTCTTGTCCTCCTGCTCTGGGCTCAGCAGCGGCCCCCTGGAGAGGTCCTGCCACCACCACCGCCCTGCTGGACACAGACCCCCTGCCCTGGCCCCTGCAGCTGGATGTGCTGGGCCTCCAAGAAGCTGGGGATCCTCTACCCACTAGAGGCAGAAAATGTGGTTCTCCAGCTGCAGGTGACTAACCAGCAGCGGGCAAGGAACTGCAGGTGGAGATGGCTGCACAGTCTACACAAAACGAGGGTGAGAAGGGGCAGCGGAGGGCCTGCCTGGGCGAGGGGAGCCTCAGGTTCGCTTCACGAGTTTGCTGAGTGCACACGAGGCGCGACCGCGAAGAGTGAGCCACAGTCCACGCCTGTCTGCGTGGAGATGCCTGCACGTGTGAACACCGGTGCGTTTTGCTCACAGCTCCGTCGCAGCCATGGAGCAGGAAACTCCGGGTGAGGCCGAGGATCAGAAAGGGCAGGGGGGCTCCGACCCACCGGACTCAGTGGAGCCCCGGGTCCGAGACGCCGCCTCTGTCCCTTCAAGCTTCGAGAAGGGCAGAGACGCAGGTCCCCACTGGCCGGCAGCTCGTCCCCGCCCCTCCTCGGGCACACCCGCTGCGACCCGGCCTGCGCTCAGGGCCAGCAGGGGTGAGGGTCCCGGAGGCAGAGGCGCCGCCGCAGCCCCAGAGTCCTCATCCCAGCGCGGAACGGCGACCCAAATGAATGCACCGAGAGGCCCTAACACCGAGCCCCCAGCACTGAGCCCCCGGCACCGAGTCCCCGGCACCGAGCCCCCGGCACCGAGTCCTCAGCACCGAGCCCCCGGCACCGTGCCCCCGGCACCGAGCCCCCGGCACCGAGCCCACCTCGCGCCGGCCCCTCCGGCTCCCACCTGCCCCTCCCCGCGCCTCACCTGGTCCGCTCCTGGACGCGCTCCTCCAAGATGCAGCTTCTCCGCGCGCGCGCCGGGAGTCCCGAGAAAATGAAAGAGACAGGAGGGAGGGGCCGGGGAGGAGAAGCGGACCGGACAGGGACCCACGTCCCAGATGAGGAAGGAGCGTGTTTACGGGAAGCCGCTGGGTTTCGGGAACTTCCCCGCGTTCACGGCACCGCACAGCGAATGTGTTATTTTCTCGGTGGCACCGCGCGCCGCTCGCGCTGAAGGAAGCAGGAAAGCGGCCGGGACGTTTCTCCAGGGGAGCCCGCGCCCGGGCGGCTCCTGCACCAAACCTGCGGGGCTGCTGGGCTCCGCCCGGGGCCGCGAGTCTGTGCGCGGGGCGGGCAGAGGGACGGCCGGAGGCCCCGTCCTGGAAGCGCCGCTCCCAGCCCCCCCGCGCGGGGTCCTGGCCTGACCAGCCCGGGGGAGCGGCCCAGCCTGTTGCGCCGGGGACGCGGTGGGGCGGAAGGCTCCAGATGCACGCGGCCCGAGCGCACAGACGCCCCAGGTGGGTCGGGGGTGGGTCGAGGAGGAACCCGAGGTGGCGCGCGGGCAGGTGCGGGCGGGGTCAAGGATGACGAGGTGTCTTCGGGACACCAGGAGGAGGCCGCACAGGCTGCAGACGCGTGGGTGGGCAAGCCCCCACCGGGCAGATGCTGGGGGACGCCGGGTGTGGGCAGTCTCCCCAACTTCATGGGAAGGAGGAGGGAGCAGAACCGAATTCTTCGGAACCCTCAAATTTAGGGGATGGGCAGAGCAGGGCCAGACTGGACGCTGAACCTTGGGGCCTGCAGCTCGGCCATCGGACCCAGGGTCGAGGGGGCAGTGCAGAACGAAGGCCCCCAGGATGTGCCAAAGGAGAAAGCGTCGCCAAATTGGCAGGTGAAACACAGCCTGTCGTGCTCCCAGCAAGATGGCACCATGGCCAGGGCACACAGGTCGGTTTCCCCAGCCACCGCCCTTCGGGAGCCCCCAGCCTCCCTGGCTGCCAGCCAGATGCTGGAGAGGGGACTGACATCCCCCCCTCCCACGTCCTCTGTGCCTGCCCCCTCTGCGCAGAGGGCTTGTCCCCGGGGCCACATCCCCAGGCACCCACAGCTTCCTTCTCTTTTCCTGCCCACTAGGGTCTCAACTCAAAGGGTCTCCAGTTCCAGGGTGGGGGTCCGGCTGCTTAGGCAGAACCACCCACAGGTGAGGCCCTGGAGGACAGCTGGAGGCTGGCAGCTTTTGTCCCGTGATGGGAAACCCCATTGGGAGCTGGAGGAAAACGCATATCCTGATAAAGGGTTTCATGCTGTGAAAGTGAAACTAGTTTGTTTATTTTGTTTATTTTGAAAGTAATACAGGCACAGAAACAAAATAGAATAAAACCAACTGTTGCCTTTTCCTCCCCGCCCTGGCTTCAGTTCCCAGGGGTGAGTTATGGACTCTGTCTCGCTTAGCCTTCTATAAGTTTTTTTGATCCATACAAACAGCACAGGCATCCACTCGAGTTTCTTTTTCTTTCCTTCGTTTTCTTTTTCTTTTCTTTTTCTTTTTTGCTCCGTTGCCTGGGCTGGAGTGCAATGCTTCGATCTCGCTCACCACAACCTCCGCCTCCCAGGTTCAACTAATTCTCCTGCCGCAGCCTCCTGAGTAGCTGGGATTACAGGCGCCCACCACCACACCTGGCTAATTTCTGTATTTTTAGTAGCGAAGGGGCTTTGCTATGTTGGCCAGGCTGGTCTTGAACTCCTGACCTCAGGTGATCTGCCCACCTGGGCCTCCCATAGTGCTGGGGTTACAGGTGTGAGGCGCCGTCACCCCAGGCAGCAGCTTTCCATTTCTCTACAATGCTGGCACCTTAGGGTGGGTGTGTGGCTCACTGATTCACATCCTGCTCCCTCTGGTGTGTCTCACCTTTGCCTGGCCCTTGAATCACAGCCTCAGCTGCACCAGGCAACATATGGAGTTTCTTTCCTTTCTGTTCTAGGAATATGTAGATTTCAGTTATGATTTCCTGTTTAACTCTCCAAATTATTGAGCAGCATATTCTTAAGATCCCAGAGGTCCAGGAGCATTTTCTTTTCTTTCTTTTTTTTTTTTATTTGAGATGGAGCCTGGCTCTGTCGCCCAGGCTGGAGTGCAGTGGTGCGATCTCAGCTAACTGCAACCTCCACCTCCCGAGTTCAAACAATTCTCCTGCCTCAGCCTCCCAAGTAGCTGGGACTGCAGGTGCACACCGCCATGCCAGGCTAATTTTTTTTTTTTTAACGTATTTTTGGTAGAGACGAGGTTTCACCATGTTGTCCAGGCTGGTCTCGAACTCCTGAGCTCAGGTAATTCGCCTGCCTCAGCTTCCCAAAGCTGGGATTACCAGGGGTCAGCCACTGCACACCCGGCCACACGCTTGCTTCCTTCCTTCCTTTCTCTCCTTCCTTCCCTTTATTTCTTTCTGTCCTTCCTTCCCTTTATTTCTCTCCTTCCTTTCTTTCCTCCCTCCCTCTCTCTTGAGACAGAGTCTCACTCTGTCACCCAGGCTGGAGTGCAGTGGTGCGATCTCAGCTAACTGCAACCTCCACCTCCCGCGTTCAAGCGATCCTCCTGACTCAGCCTCCCGAGTAGCTGGGACTACAGGTGCAGGTGCCCGCCATCGTGGCCGGCTAATTTTTTTGTATTTTTAGTAGAGACGGGGTTTCACCGTGTTAGCCAGGCTAGTCTGGATCTCCTAACCTTGTGATCCGCCCACCTCAGCCTCCCAAAGTCCTGGGATTACAGGTGTGAGCCTGCCTGCTTTTGCTTTTCTTTGTGTTATCAACTTGTAACTTGATTCTCTGGGTTCCCTCCCTTTGAACCTTGCCCACTTGCCTGTAGCCTGTGGGGACTCCTCCTAGTGTTCCAAAGATGCATCATCATCCTTGACCCCGCCCACACCTGCCCAGGTGCCCACACCTGCCCAGGTGCCACCTCGGGTTCCAGTGGAGGAGGAGGCTGCCTACCACCCCGAAGAAGCTGCCTCCACCCACCTCCAGCCCACCTGAGATGTCTGTGGGTTCCGGCCTGGATGCATCTTGGAGCCTTCCACCCCCAACTATCTCCAGCCCCAACAGGCTGGGCCCCTGCTCCCAGGCTGGCCAGTCCCGGACCTCGGCAGGGGACCCAGGATGCTCTTCGGGGGAGCTGGGGGGATCGCCCCTCTGCCCCGCGCACTTTCCTGAAAGGGCCTCCGCTCCCTGTGCCTGCCTGCCCCCACCCTGCGGGCCCACAGCCGGCGCCCTCGCCAGGCCCAGCTCGCAGCCTCCTGGGAGCAACCCCGCAGGTTTTGTGCTAACCACTCACTGGCCGGAAGGGTCTCACGGGTCCTCACGCGGGGGTGTGTCTCTGGCTGTTGGAGCAGTGCTCCCTGCCGGTGTCCCCCCGTCAAGGCATCAATGGGGCAGGCTAGGTCTGTTCTATAGTTGCCAATTTTTATGGGCTTGAGCTATCAGTGATTAAGAGAGGTTGGAATGGCCCCTGTGGCGGGGGCTCAGCAGCCTCTTCTTGTGGTTTTAGAAATTTTTAATCATATATTTGGAGGGTTTTTTTTTTCTTTTTTTAAAGAGATGGCGTCTCCTGTAGTTGCCCAGGCTGGAAGGCAGTGGCCATTCACTGGCAGGACCATAGTTCCTGTAGCCTCGCCCTCCTGGGCTCCAGCGATCCTCCCGCCGCAGCTCTGAGCAGCGGGGACCGCAGGCAGGCAGCACAGATAAAAAACCTTACCCGAAATGTTTGCTTGCGTCTTTGTTGTTTTGTGGTCCTTGCTCTTGTCTTGTGATAATCTAATTCTAATTTATCTATTTTATAAAATTTGGAAGTTTTAAAATGTAAGGCTAATTTTAATTCTTACCCAGCACGTTTCTTCGTCGGGAGGAATCCACACCTTCGCTTGTTATCTTCCTCCTGAAAAGGCTGCACCCCTGCCACATCCAGTCGCGTTGCCCTGAGCCCTCGCCTGTCAGTGTTCTTGGTGTTTCTATCGGGATTTTACTGTCTTTGTAGCTTAATTTTATTTTACCTTAATTAATTTTGGCAGGGCGGAGAGTCACTGTGTCGCCCAGGCTGGAGTGCAGTGGCACTATCTCAGCCCACTGCAACCTCCACCTTCCAAGCCCAAGCGATTCTCCTGCCTCAGCCTCCTGAGTAGCTGGGACTACAGGTGCCCACCACCACGCCTGGCTAATTTTTGTATTTTTAGTAGAAACAGGTTTCACCATGTTGGCTAGGCTGGTCTCAAACTCCTGACCTTGTGATCCACCCACCTCAGCCTCACAAAGTGCTGGGATTATAGGTGTGAGCCACCGTGCCTGGCCACCTGTCACAGCTTAATTTGAGAAAGAACGACATTTTTAGGGCTGGGTGCCGTGGCTCATGCCTGTTGTCCTAGCACTTGGGGAGGCTGAAGTCAGAGAACCTCTTGAGAGCAGCAGTTTGAAGACCGGCTTAGACTAACGCCATCTTCACAAAAATAAAATAATGAGCTGGGCATGGTGGCCAGTGCCTGTAGTCCCAGCTACTTGGGAGGCTGAGGCAGGAGGATTTCTTGGGCCCGGAAGGTCACGGGCGCATTGAACCAAGATCAGGTCACTGCACTGTGGCCTGAGCAACAGAGTGAGGCCCTGTCTCAAAGAAAGAGGGAGAAAAAGAAAGAAAGAATATTAATTCTTCCTAGGCAGTGGACAGGAATGCTGGACAGTGGATAGGAAAGCAAGACAGGAGCTGTTAGAATTAGCCACACAGGCAGGGATGAGCCGGGACAGATGAGCCTCTCCACCTCCACAAGCAGGAAGGGCTATGCTGGAGGAGGCCGGACGGGTCCACCATGGCTCTAGGCTTGACCAATTCCCCACCCCAGGCCTAATTACACACGCACTACGATCCAAAGTCACATGCCCGCCAGCACCACGGTGCATCCAACCACGTCCACGTTTAGTATAAAAATAGCTGGCACCCCAATTCTAAGAAATCTCCACCTTTTTCCTAGAAAATCTCATGACGATTCCACGCTCTGGCTAGGAGAACCCGTAAAAGAGAAACTCAGAATCAGACCCTGTTGTGTGTGACTCGTTCTCTGAGCATGCTCCTGCCTCTCTTCCGTGCACAAGTGTTCGCTTCGCGGTAAAAGCTTCGTGCCTTTCGCCTCCTTCCCACTTATATCGAACTCTTTCTCATGATGGTGTCAAGAACCTGGACACTGTCTGGGGCTGGGGCTGGCATCTCGCTGGCACCTGGAGACCCTCCTCAACCCTCCGGCCACAGAGCTGCTGCCTTCCGTCTGACCTCGGTGTTGTGGCCGTGCCTGTCCTGGCCAGGGCTCCTGTCGACGGCCGTACCCGGCCCTGCTGCCCTTTGGAGCCCTTGGCTCAGGGGAGCCTCCGATCTGCCCCCAGGAAGGCGTTCAGTGCA